CCTTGCACTCTCTTTGCGGCTCCTTTTTTATTGAATTAAATTGAATTTGCAAAAAAAAAAAAGATGAATTGAAGAAAGATTGTATTGTATGGCATCAGATGCTTAACTGTTTTCCATTTTTAGAACTCAAGTTATTTTATTGACAATTCTGTGCAGAAGTTGAATTCTTCTTTATAAGATATAATAAATAGTTTCCATGCAGACTGTGTGCAGGAGCTGCGCAGGCCTCATACTGTTAGTTGGGTAGACTACAATTAGGGAAATGTGAGTTTAGTAAACATAGAGCACCTTTTATGGGACTACTGCACAAATATTGTATCACAAATTGTGACATGGAACAAAGGTAAATTCAAACATCTTTGCTTTTAAAAATTCTATTTCATACATTCTTTGACTAGGGTTTCATCAAGGTCACTAATTTGAAAGGCTCTTTGACCTAAGAGTTACCAATTAGCAGGTTTTCAGTTTAACCAAATTGGAGAACACCAAACATCAGTAAGGCTTTCATGCCTTTATCATGTTTTTCTAACACTAATGTGTGTCTCTAGTCTGTCTACAGCCCCCCCCAATTATGAGAAAAGTCCATCCTCTCTGTCTTTTACCTGCTCAACTTTAAAGAAAATGTGTGCTCAACAGGCTGTTTGGAGATTTTCCCTTCATGACATCACAAAGGGCAGTAACCTCTCCCCCAGGAGGGTGACACTACCACAGCTGACTGTGCCTATACCGCGAGAAAGCCTGAGCCATGCAAACCCTACCAGAGAGGGGCGTGGTCAGATACAGCTCATTTGCATTTAAAGGTACAGACACAGAAACAGCCTGTTCTGAGCAGGGCTGAAATAGAGGGGCATGATAAAAAAACAGGATCTGAGTGGATTTTTAACAAAAGACTTCAGAGACATGTTTTGTGGAGCTCTGGCATTTATTTAAACTTGTTATAAAGGAGGATAAATAACTTATCAAAAAACAAGTCAGTATAGCGGAGATTATCGACTGAGTTTCAGGAAAATCAATATTGTTAATGAATTTTGCTAACCTAAAGATAGCCATTACAAATGTTTACAAGGTATATTTTCCCTGAGTTTTTCAAATGCTATTAATTTTTCAATAATAACAGACCAACAACAATCCTAATGTCCTGATCACCCCAGCATTCCCAGGTTTTAATGGTGTTATTCAAAATGGACTGTTTTTGGACCTTGGATGGAAGCAGAGACGTTTCATTCTGAGTAAAGATATAGAAGGGCAGTACCAGGCATCAATATGGGTCTCCTGCAAGTGAAAAAAATGACTCAGCCACTCTAACACCATGCGGCATGTCCAGTTATAAAACATGAAGTAGGGCATTGAAGACCACCCCTCTCTCTTGACGGCTGTAGTGTTTGTCTTGAAATAAAAACACAGATATTGACATCATATTAAGTGTTATGCACAAGACAACGTTATAATTCTGACCAACATGACAGCGAGGTAACAAGCTTTTTCCAGTCTTCCCTAGCTCTTAAATGGGTTAAAAGTCACTCAAACTGTAACAGTAACACACAAGCTTAAACGTGTCCACAATGATGCACTGAGTGTCTTCCCTGGACAGAACATTTTACAACCTCTATTGTACCCACACTCGTCATTTTACTCGAGTGACTCGGCTATATTATGTTATAATATTATTCCATTTACAGCAACAATGGGCAGGTTTTTCCAGTGAATGAATGGTGTGTGTGGGAGTGGGCGAGTTTAGTGGGTCAAAAAATGGCCCACTTTTCAGAAGTCATACAAAAGTAAGGTCTAAATGCTTTCCCCCTGACCCAAATGGTAAAACACCCCCGCTGCATAATGATCTATCTGGGTCTTTCGACTCAAATCTGGGTCGCGTATACAAACTCTACGAGTTTCAGCACACATATAACCAATACACTCACTCACTGGAAATAAGCATTAGTTTAGTATTGGTAACAATGCTATACTAGGTGTGACCAAAGGAAATGTTAAATAAGCCTCAGGTCTAAATGAAAGGTGAAGCTAACTCATAATTAGGTTTTTAGCAGATGTGTCACAGTGGTGGTGGTCTCTCTGCCGTGGCGGCTAATGAGAATTTTTCCTTGCAGTGTTTACCACATGTGTGCACAGTCTGTGTTTATGGCAAGGCAGAGGGATTAGCTGTGGAGTCTATCCTGTGATGAGAATGTATAGCGGTGGGAGTAAATAGGTCAGTGAGGTTTAGAAGCTTAAGAGGGTAAAATGACTTAATATAAAGAACCATGACATTTCAAGAACTACAGCCGAGAGCAGCGTAATTAAATTGTTTGGGGCTTCAAAAAAAGTCACCTCTTATATCTTACTGACTAGTTATGATCAATTCAGCTGTGGTTCTGTTTGTCTTGACTGTTTATATATTACTCCAGCAGTTCATAAGGAAATCATATTATACAGACGTGTGTTCATTGAGGCAAATGGTCTTCTTTTTGTGTAGTTCAACCTAAATTTAGAACTTGTGTTCTGCCTTAGTAATAATTTTCATGCCTGAACGACAAAAGCCTTTGGGGTCAGTCAGCAGTAAAGCATAGCCATAATACAGGTGGTGGCATAAAGAGCACATTTCCCATCTGCCTTGGGATGTTCTTTCTATAGCTCTGCCAAACTGCGGCTTATGTTCAGCGGAAAACAAAAAGTTAACGTTGAATATTTATTATAGCCATACCACATTTTTTTCAAAAAACTTACCAAAGTCTTGCTACCAGAAAATAATAAAAAGCATGATTAGTTTAGCATGAAAACAGCTTGGTTAGTTATAGAAAAAAGAATGGGCTGATAGTAAATATACAATACTTAAAGGAAAACTGAAGGAGAAATTGAGGTCATGTAATGTTTCCGACATAACGGGTGACGCTTACTTTGCTTTTGACCCCAGATGGGACATGAGCCCTGGCTACCTGGACAGTAAGGCTGTTTGTTTGAATCATCTTTCCCCCTATAACCATCATCTTGTGGGCTTTATATATGCACCAAACAAACTTCTAATTCATAGTTTCAAGTGACGCCACAGATTTATAGGCTGCCCATCTGCCGGGCAAGAAAGGCTTTCTACTGCAGATAATGTTTGAAAAAAATAAGAAAGAGGCTGCTTTGGTAGCATCTGACACCTACTCCGAAGCACCGAAATAATCAATCTTCCTAGCGGTGCTCTGTTCTTTTCTTTGTATAGGTCATATATTAGCATTAGCCGACGGAGTTCTTAACAGACAGACAGTGACCAGCTTAATAAACACTAAGACCATTTCAAATATTAACTCTTTACACATTTTGACTTCCTCTGCCCAATCTATAGGGGAAGCTAAGTGAGTCTATTAGGAAATTATTTATTTGCCAGGCTAATGAGGCATACAACTGGAACTAAGAGGATATGTAATAATGGCTTAATATTGCAGGAATATAGGCCAATGAAGGGGGGGGGGTCTTCTCCTTGTCACTAATTTAAAAGTGTTTCCCTTTTATTGTGAAGCATTAATATTTACACACTGAGCAGGGATGCAAGCAGAACATAAAGACCTATATCCCAATGGAAATGAATGACCTGAATACAACCCTCCTCCACTGACCCACAGTATACAATAATAAACCATATGAGTCAATGAAGTCCATTAGACCACATGTGTGCCCACCTTGCACACTAATGTTTACACAGGTTGCCATGTTTCGCTCTAGATGAACACGCTTTGTTAGGTCACGCTTGTGGACAGAGGAGCCTGAATTTAGGTATAGGCGCAGGTTGCTAGGAAGTAGCATACGATGCATTTACCCACGGCCATCGGAGGTCAGGTTGGTTTGTTCTGTGTAATAATAGATTAAATGTGCCCTATTTCACAGGAAATATATAGGCTATCAGGGTTTCACTCAATAGAGGATGTATCAAGAGATAGTAAAGATCCCTAAAAAGGACACTCATAGGTCTCTAAAATTATATATTTTATGCCCCAAACTTCACACAATTTTTGCAATCATCTATCATTTTTTTGTTGTTGCAGGGACCAGAATATTTTTGTTAAACTAGTTTTAAGATCATGATGCCTAGATTATTTTGTTATCTCAAGAAAAAAATTAACTATTTCATATTGAGGTAATAAGATAATCTATTATTTGTCTTCAGAAATAGGCTTGCAATCTTGATATCTCGAGATATCTGTATTAAACAATGCAACAAATGCTGATGAAGATTTCTAAAGGTAAAAATGATCTCTCTTTCTGACTGAGTACGTCCATAGGATCACCACAATTGGTCTTTGCAAGACTGTAATCCATAATAGATTCCAATGCTGTGTTTAAAAAATAAAAACAATGATCTGTGGAGTTAGACTTTAGCGTGCTTAAAAATGTTTTACATTTGCTAGCTAAAATATAATTTCTACATAAAGGCTCTAATGATTTAGATTCATTCAGTATTCCAACACACTTTGCACCGTCTGTCATGTTTAACACCACTGTGGTTGTTTTAATAGCACCGAACTAAGATGATGAAACGTATTTGAAGCAGTACCAGTCAAGGTTTGTGCCCAAAAAAAGATCTTACAGAGTTGATTTCAAAACTTTATTGAACAATTTTGTACACATAAAACAAACAACTACAGGAGCAGAAAAAAAAAAGAACTGATCAAAGAATTTCTCAAGAGTTTCACCAAAAATATTTACTGTTCTGCTACTTTTTTCAGCTGTCTATTAGTTGAAAAGTTGTTATGTATTGTTTCACTTCATTTAAAAATCCAGGGAAGTTTGGTGTACATTTTCTCCCTCTGCATTTGTTAATATGAGATTTATATAGCAATCTTGATTTATAAGCTTACAAAAAAGTCGATGTTAGATTTATTATTTTGTCCAATTAAATCATTTCATCATTGCAGAAAGTACATTTGCTGCCTACATCATGACCAGTCTGTAAAAATATAAAAGCTTTTACTTTTAAAAAGGGGTAAAAGATCCGACCTACAGGTACGTCATCATCCAACATGTGACGCAAACTACCCGCGCCGCGAGGCTAGAGGAATGATGGCGGTGGCTCAAGCGAAGCTAGAGAAGGAGGGCGACGATTGCTCTTTGCTTCCTTTAGTCCATGATATTATCAAATGGTAAGGTCACTGGGGGGATTATATGAGCTATGTGTTTCTCTAAGGCTCCGTGGAAATGAATGTACTCGTCTGAAACAATCATCTGGTGACGCTGCTAAACTTGTTGTGAGCTAAAGCTAACGTTAGCTGCTAATCTAAAACACCTATGTGACACTTTGCAGGCATGCATGTAGTCTCAGTGTGGATGTTTAACCTGTTTTTAGCTTCAGATAACGTTAGCTATTATAATACATTGAGAGTTAGTGGTTGTAGTAATCATTTATTTCAGCCGCAAGAAAAAACATGTTGACCGAAAAGGTGTATGCTGAAGCTTTATCTTATTACACCTCCCCTTATTACAAATCTGATTATTGAAGACACGACTAGTTTGTTTACACAATTTGTTCTAAGAGTTTCTTTCAAAACAAAACAAATGAAACAAACAAAAGAACAAAAAACAAAACAGAAGTCACACTCACTAAAAATAATCAAACCGACCTTTTATATTTGTTAAACATCATTTTTTTAAACTAAAATGTAAATCTGGAAAGTGAACCACACAGTCTTAATTCCATGTCATAAGTATTCTACAAGTTAACCCCTTTTACTGAAATACACCTGTTCTTTATGTTTGTCCTTACCTTTTTTTAGACACACATATTCCCCTCAGTTCATACCCGCTCTCTCTAGTTTCAAAAAACCTCTGAATACTGTTGGGAAGCAAATGATTGTGTGCCTTGTACATTATCTGAGCAGTTTTTAGATCTACTAGATCGCTGAATGTTAAAGCGTGTATGTTAATAAATAGTGTTAGTTGGTTCGTAATAATCCGATCTATTTACAATTCTTATAGCTTTTTTCTGTAGCATGGAAATGGGATGAATGTTGGTTTTGTATGTGTATCCCCATACCTCCACACAGTAGGTAATGTATGGAACTATGAGTGCACAATACATTATATACAGTGAGTTTCGATTCAGGAATTCTTTAGTTTTACATAATATTGCAGTGGTTTTGGGGAGGGGGGGTTAGTGATTGTAGGCGGTGATGAAAAGGTGAGTTTTGAGGGATTTCTTGAAGGAGGTGAGTGTGGGGGAGTCTCTGATGTTTTTTGGGAGTGAGTTCCAGAGAGAGGGAGCAGCAACAGAGAAAGCTCTGTCCCCCCAGGACCGATAGTTTGTCCTGCAGGGGGAGGGGGGGGCAGGAGGAGTGTGTCGGTGGAGGAGGTGAGACAGGGTAGGGGGGAGCCAGGGGCCAGCTAGGCTAACTGGAAATAGCAATGGTCGTAACACAACCCACTAAAGTAACATTTTGCCTTGTTTACCTATCTCCCTCTGTAAGCATGGACAAGGACAGCCAGGATGTCCACCAAGAACTGGCAAAGCTGAAGACGAGGATCCAGGAGGCTCGGGAGCAGATCTCCAACATGCCGGGGATAGAGAGCAGTCCGCTGGAGCAGCAGCAGCAGCTCGCCACGCTGCGGGAGCAGGTCCACACCAAGAACCAGCTCCTGCAGAAATACAAAAGTCTCTGCATGTTTGACGTGCCAAAAGCATCTTGAAACTGAAGGCTGGATTAATGCAACTGAAGGAGAAAGCAAACAGACAGTTGATCTGGAAGGACATTTAGTTTTTTTGCTCATTTATTGTGCTGATTAATGAGTATGGGCTGGACGTTCAAACGCTCAAGGACTCGTTAAGCCTTCAATGCAATGTTTTTTTGTTTTTTTTTTAAAGCACAACAGCGTTATATTTCAAGGTTTGTTTTTAAGGGTTTTGGGAATATTCACTTGGTTTTGTAGTATTTATACAAATTAAAAAGCAGTCTTTCAGTTTGTATTTGTCTTGTTGTGTATCTATGATTTCTCCTTTTTTTTTTAAAAATAAAATGATTGTATAGAATTGACAAGCCCACATCTTTATTTAATGACACTGGTAGTTTACACAATAATTTAAGCAAGTGGCCTCCATCTTTATCTTTTTGACACAAGCGTGTTCAATGAATATGAACAGCTATCATTCACTCAGTTGGTTTGACACTTGAAGGGGAAGTTTATGGTCGTTCAGACTGTAGTTTATCCGCAGTGGAATCGCATGCAAGATGTTACATCTGATCAAAAGGGAATAGCTGAACAAATATGAGTTTGTGCTCATTTATATGTAGATTGTCTGTTCAATGTGTTGCGTTTAAAATAAGAACGACCTGCTTGTTTTTAGGGCAGGATGAGCTGATTATTGTGATGTATTCTAACAACTAAGGGAGAAACAACCTTAAAGTTTGCATAGCAGTGTTTTATTGTGACTTGTGCTTGAAATGAAAGAGAAGGAGAAGAGAGTTTATGAAAGTAACAATTTGTTTTATTTTCTCATTTATGCAAAAAAAGGACTCAGACATAATAAATATACATTCAGTAGATTTGTTCATAACGCCAACACACATTCAAGTTCCACCAAGTAAAAAAATAGCTAAATGTAAACATGTTTTTCCATTTTCCAAGTGCCATTCTCGGCAAGCTAATGCAGAGGCAGATTTTACAGCATTATTAACACTGCATTACTACACAGGAGCTGAGCTACGTGCGCCGTGCTTCTCAACACAGTTTGGATCACATTATGTCAGTGGGGCCTCAGAGGCTCAAGTCTACAGTATTTGGGTTTATGCGCCCTGTTTGCAAAAAGGCAAGCTTCGGATCTTGAAGTCTCTTAGAAAGTCTCTTAACGCACAAGGAGAGGGGTCAGCAGATGGTGCAGCCTCTCTCTTTGGCCTGGCCGCCTCCAACAGCTTTCTCCTTTATGTACATCAAGTCACTGTGCACACTGGGTCTCCGCGCAAACGGCGCCACAACCCCATATGCGTTCCCGTCTTTGCACTTCTTGCTTCTGAAGGACTTTCTGTGAAGAACCTCGCAGTACTGCAGGGTAACTTTGCAGTGGCGGTCGGGGCTCATTTCGTTAGGCAACTTGGCCATGGTAAAGAGAGTCTGAAACATCTGGTCTACGTTGGTGTTCTTCTTTGCCGAGATTTCAAAATAAGCGCATTGCTCTTCTCCACCGACCAGCTGCTCGATCTCATCCTCCCGCACCTCGCGGTAAAAGTCCCTGTCACACTTGTTGCCGCAGATGACGAGCGGGACATCCGCGTTCTCCTTGGTTTTGTTTCGCAGGCAGGACTTGGTCTCGTAAATCTGGCGCTTCAGACGCTGCACCTCCTGGAAGGAGTCTCTGTTATCCAGACTGAATACCAAAATGAACACATCGCCTGGAAAACACAAGAGGAGAAAGGTTAGATACCAAATGATAAAACATTTTTAAAAGTATTCACTTCATTCTACAGCATGACAGTATGGAGTTTTTTTAAGCGCAACTTACCGGTGAGAATTGAAAGCCTCCTCATTGCAGGGAAGGGATGGTTTCCAGATGTGTCCAAAATGTCCAGCTGGTAAACGTCTCCCTTGATGCTGTAGAATTTCCTATGAAAGTCCTCAATAGTTGGCGTATACTGGTCGTCAAACCTCTCGTTCAGAAACCGAGAGATAATCGCCGTCTTCCCAACTTTGGTGGAGCCCAGAATCACCATCCTGTGGCAATTCTTGGCCGGAATGTCGAACTCGCTCTCGGATGGAGACATCTTCTTAATCATACTTGCAGCAGTTGCACCCGGGGGTGGACAGTGCTAAAGCAAGGGTTGCTTTTTAAATCCTTGGAGGGGTGTGAAGAGTATAAGCTCGCTGTCTCGCTCTGAAGACAGGAGAGCGCAGGCTGGGCATTTATAGGAGAAGTTTGCCGCGCCTCCCAAATGCGTCATGCGTCACGCTACTGGTTATAGGGAGCTGGAGCAAGAAAGACCCGAAATTATAACGTTACTATGGCTGTATCTGTGCGTCAGCTCTGTCCACCCTTCATTATCTGAGAACGGGAGAGACACGAGGTTGTTTTTACAGAGAATACTGCTTTTGTGAAAACATTTACCCACATTGTCACACATAATTACCGCGAATAAACTGTTTATGACATGAAATATCAGGCGCAGCTTGCACAAAATTACTTTGAATGGGTGCATTTGATAAAAGCAGAGTTTTGATGCATTTGATAAAGAAAAGCCACATTTCATATTAACCTTTTAAGTGCATGTATAGAACAGATTTTTTTTTTGCTTTACAGACATCTGCAGTAACAGTCCAACTGCTTGCAAACATGTTTTCCTTATTCGTCAGTAATCAGAAAACAGAAATCATACTCTCCCTGAGGAGAAAGTAGCTGGAAGATGGAAGAAGAGGTTGGGAACCGAGGGGGCGCAGCTGCACACACAGACACACTGGGCATGTTGAAGGGAGAATGTTTTGATTGCTCCTGTAATATGTATGTATGTGTCATCCTTTAAGACTGCCTGCGCTTTTATTTATAAAGCATTCAATCCCTCTTTTCTTTGAAATTATTTTTAAAATGATCTTTAAGTGTTTCTGTCCTCTCTTATAATTCCACTGAATTCGCATCTGTTCTACTGATGGAATCATTTCCCTAACCCTCACCAAATGCAAAACAAAAAACAAAGAAAGTTGAATTGGGATTCATTTCTGTTCATCAAGAGTGAATGTTGGTGCAGAAACACATAGGCTACAACAAAAAACTGCGACAACTGGATATAACTAGTCTGTCTGTCTGTCTGCAAACAAAGACTTTATAAACGTCACGATCACAACTTGGGAACAGCTGGATGTAACTGGTGCCTTGAAGCCATCGAATCCAAACCATATTGACTTTCTCGTATGTGTTAATTGTAGTGCCCCACAGACAGTCTAAAGATAGAGCCCACCGTTTGTGACTCAAACTCTGCTCATTCACTTTGGCACCTTAAACACTTAACACCTCTTACTTATCCTCTCACCTGTGAATCCGTGCGCCGAGAGAAAGAGCTTCTTGAGGAAAAATACTGGTGTTACTCATGCTATTAAGTATTATCGTCTCCATTAAAGCATCTTACCTGTGATGTAAGAGGGTACTTTTTTTCTGCGACTTTCCATTTGTTGCCTTTGTTATAATAATATAAATAATAATAATAGCAGTTATTAGTAACAAACTTTACATTAAACAAACCTCATAGTTTGTTTAAAATGAAAAAAAAAAACAGAATAAGAGCAAAAGAAGGCTTATCTCACATTTAACATTTAAGTTTTACGTTTGTAATTTTTTCTTGTCCACGCTTTTTCTTTATGTGTTCTTTATGAAAACAAATACTAATAATACCAGGTAAAGAACACAGGTTATAACACCATTAGACTATATTTATCTTTTTACATGAACTTCCACTGCCTTTAAATAGAACTGAGGTAATGTTTTATTCATCTAATTAGAATATGTCCCATGCTATTTAATTGACATTTTGACATTCAGTTGTAGTCATTGTGTCAAGACTCCCTGACTTCCAAAGCTGCGTCATGACTGGATTTATTTGAAGGAACAGAGGTTCAGAGAGTTGACCTTTAAATTATTCATTGCTCTCTCTCTCTCTCCACCTGTCTCCTCCCCTATACGGCCGTATGATGCTTGAAATATGAAAAAAGACACCATAATATTTTTACAGAATATCCACAGCAGGTCAAGTGTATTCATAATTCTTTACCTTGATTTCGTGTGAAACCGAAAACTCACCCAACACTGATGACCTTTTTTTTTTTTTTAGCCCTCTGTGGGGCATTGGGCATTGAAATGAGATAGGTGTACTTAAACCTGATTGTTCAAATCCTGAGCTGTGGGTTTGTGTAACCCGACTGGAACAGACCAGCTTGACACCCTTGACCATTGGTCAGTAATTAAGCCAGTGTGTTCCCAGCGGTACGTAAAACAGGACACGTGCAGAAGGCCTTGTTCATAGCAAGGTGCTGTCATAACACTACCTGCAAAAAAACCCAAAACAATAGGGCGGGAGGGGATCTATGTGTTTTACATATTTACTTATGGGTTTTTACCCATTGATAGGTACAGTTTTATTCATTATAGTCAAAGTAAAAGTTTAATTTAAATCATCCCAAAATCCAATAAGGGATAAATGAGTTTCCTTTTTAACACAGAAAATAGGATCTAATTTGATCTCATCATATCTATTGTATATTATGGTATGGTATGGTATCATAGTATGGTATAGTATGGATTGGTATTGTATTGTATTATATTAAATGACATATTAACATGTTTGTGTTCACTAATGTGCACTGTCCCTGTTTTAAATAAATATATTTAAAAACTGGTTGTATCTTACTGTTCATATTGTGTTGTATCATACTGTATCACATTGTATGTTGTCTTGTTGTATAGTAATGTTCATTGTTATGTTTTCTCAGACTCTTGCTCTTCTTACACATCAAACATCTGTCTACATTGATTTTTGAAATGATATGCATAAAAACTTTGAGTACTCAGAATGGCCGTTAGACTATTTAAAGAATTATGGTTGTCTAAGTGTCAGTATGTTATTTGCAATGTTATCATACATGATAATTTAGAGATTGTCCCATTTCTTGGTAAAAGCCTGATATAGAAGAGGTCACGGCAGGAACGTTGAAGGGCAGAGTTTCTTTTTTTTTGTGGTCAGAGAAAGAAAAACATCAACATTTTCACAGTGACTCACCTGAGAACCAGCCCAGGGTCAAACCTCGAGAAAAAAACAAAAACATAACTTCAACATCCAGCCCAGTATAATTTGTCTTTTAGGCACATGCTTTTCATCGGTGCGTGGCTCTTTTTGTCCTCAGTTTTTGAACCATGTTTGTGTCCCAACCTTCTGTTACATAGCCAGACCTTGACACATGTACCGTCCTGGCAACGTGGCCCTCAAGCAGAGTAAACAGACCAGCTGGAGCCCACTCAGGCCCCGGCCAATCATACGCATTAGTCTAATTTCCTTCTGAGCCATGGTTGCCTTTATTGATTATTAAAGAGGGAAGAAATGACTGGATGAAAAGATGATGTATCCCATGTCAGGACAAAATGCTTTGAAGCGGATTAGAATTGTAGGTTTTTGATTTGATGAGCAGTAATTGAAGCAGTGGCAATACATCTACATTTAAGTTGATTTTCAGTGTTTCAGAATGAGTGCCGGGTCACCTGTGTTTAACTGTTGTTTATTTGAATTAATATCATTGTTAAAATAGATTGTGCATTGTACCTTTTCTTATGTCAGTCTGTCATCATTTATTCAGATTTCTACTATTTATCTTGACAAATGTAGCATCTATGATTTGCCTTTCCTTCTCTGAAATAAAAACATTTTAAAAATAGAAGGAGAAAAAGGAATCATGGTGTGTTCCTTTTTACCCTGGAAGTCAAAAATTCAGAGTTGCTAGTACAGTACAAGGATCAGAAACACCCCCTGAAGTCTCATCCTCGACTCAGATACTCAGAGGAACTTCAGTGTGACTCAAGCGGAAAATCCAACATGGCTGCTGCGTGCATCATCAGTAATGTATTAGTTGGAAGTTAAAGTGTTTGTTACCAACTTAGTATTGTTGTTGTGTAATTAAATCAATCACACCTATAGCGCTTTGCAAGTTCTATCTGTGGACATGTTGACATGTTGCTTTCGTGCACAAACTATCATGTGCACTATCATATGTTATGTCATTTACACCTCTGACTTCTAACGTTAGAAATACAGCATGTGTGTTTAATGCATGAATAAAGAAAGAAAAAACAGATTCAATACTGCAATTAGAAAATCATATGTAATATAGTCACAATTTCAGCATCTTGTACTCACCTCTCTCCAATCGCACACATTAGCTGCCGCATGTGCGTCATACGCTTGACACATTGTCATTTAGTGAGAGAAATTGTAGAGAGCATATGTGTGTGTGTATGCATGTGTCAGTGTAAATACGTGTACTTGTAGACTTCAATGATTCTTTGAAGCAACGTCACAGACTCAATTTATGTGTAAAAATCTTAATCTTTTTCAGAGCATAATTAAGAAACATGAACTTTTGATTGGACTTTTTTCTGTAAAATCTTATGTCAAACCTAAGAAAGCATTTAAAAAAAAAAAAAACTTTCTCTTTTAGCTAAAATATTTTAACCAATTTGATCAGTTTGATGACATAAAACAATTACAACATTGATAGCATTGTATTCATTGGTGCACAACATTATATAAACATTTTTATTTAAAGAGACACAGCTCAATTATATGAAGGCGCTTTTTGAAATTTAATTTGCACAATTCATTCTTTTCCCAAGAAACAAAAATTCCTCAGGGGCGTGACTAATATGACTTTAAAAGGGTCTCTTTCCCTTGTAATAGGTGGACCGAAAGCTAGGTTGTGATAGCATTTTAAGGGGCACAAATGGCCTAGGGGATCCCATGTGCGGAGGCTACAGACCTCCAAGCAAACGGGTCTGGTTCAAGTCCGACCTGTGGCTCTTTTCCAACACTTCATTCCCCACTATCTCTCTCTCCCACAATTTCCTACTCTATCCACTGTCATTTCAAACAAAGGCTAAAAGCCCCCAAATAAAATCAAAACAAAACAAGGGAGATAGCATTTTCAATATGGTGATGGCCATACATGAGCTTCTTAAACCAATGGGTGACTATGTCCATGCTTTCATACAGGGTTTGTTTAGTACATGTGTGGGTCAGGGAGCGGGTCCAAAGGGACAGCTCTGACATAACATGAGTGATGGTAGAACCGAGATGTGTGTTTTGAAGAATTGGTTACATTTCCTGGTTAC